TTATGAATATTTGAAACAAGTTCGTTTTAGCAGAATTAAAATAGATGAAAACTGGAAATTGGGACTGAAGAAATAGTTCGTCACAAAAAAGTTCGCTATATGCGTAGTTTGCTATAATAGTAGAGATTTGTGTGAAAAATTTGTCTTAAAACTTTGGGACCAGGAAATATGTTAACTATAAAGAAAGTTCGTTTTAACCTGTGTTCGGTTATATGCAAAATAAAGTCAATAGTTGAAGCGTGGTATGACATGAAGCGTGGGTATGACTGCCCCTTTGTGGGCATATAAGGAATCGAGAAGGACTAACTTTTGTAAAATATATCATCTGTTTATCTCGAGTCCTCGGGTGTCGTTTTTCCTAATTTTCTAAATATCACAAGACGAGATTTTTTTAATCTTCAAATATTTTAGAAAAATGTGGTTCATAAAATTTTAGATGGGGTAAAGTGGAGCCACATGCTAAGTTCCTTCTCAGTTCCTTTTTATTATACTACTGTCAAATCTCACAATTGATTAAGCTGGGCCTGAAGGGGTTAAAGAGACCTCATCATGTATTACCAAATAAAAATATCCTCCATCTTCAAATATTTAGATTAAAAATTTAAGCTGGGCCTTGATTAAGCTGATTAAGATCTCTCACGCCAAACATGTTAATAACATTAAATTATGAGAGACATGTTCGACATAAAATTAAATCATAAAAATATCCTACATATGCCGGTTTAAGGACACAAAAATAATACAAGAAATTCTTTAACATAAAATATTATGTCCCATTTAGCCTTCGGTTGGCTTTGGAAAATTGCTTAAATTCCTACAACATGTTAGTGCAAAAATGTCCCACCTCCTTAAACATACTAAACATACCGAGTGACATAGGTATTTTCTTGCTGTGTTTTTTGTCTTATTTGCCAATTTGGCTTTCTTTTGACACCGACCGAGCAATTTTCATAATATGAGTATCATTTACAGTCTGTCATTTACTCTCTCGACATGTGTGACACAAACAGTAGGAACTAACGTTGAGTCACTTTTCTTTTGCAACCGGTTGGGTTGTAAAATGCAACAACCAAAACATAAGTGAATAATACAACAACAACAACTAGCCGTAATTCACTCTAACCTGTCATTATGACATTTTGACGTTTTATGTACTTCTGCTGAGTTTTCTTTCTGTTTTTCTTCTTCTTCGCTTGTTCGCTCCTCAGATCACGTTACGTCTTTTGGGTGATAAAGGCGGCAGTGTCGTTGACAGAGGGAAAGGCCTCGGATGGAGAAAAGTGAAAACTCGCAAATATGTCAAAAGTCAGAAAAACGAATTCATTGTCGTAATTGGCATTGCCGCCAACAAAGTTCAGCTCGTTGGTATTTATGACAGACAATTAAAAACACTTTAGACCATTTTTGTCGCTGCTGTTGTTGTTGTTGGTTTGCTCTCTCAATTAATGTAAGACAGAATTATGACACTTTTAATATGCAAGTGAGCTATTACTAAATTAGTAACAGTTGGCTGTGTCAAGGAGTAACTTGGTCGTTGGTTACAAAGTATGAATTTTCGTATGTACAGAAGGTTGGAAAATTTTTTTAAGTTTAAAAGTTAAAAAAAATATATTTTTTCAAATAGCTATTTTTAAAAACAGATTTTAAACGAAAATATTATTTGTCCATAATTATAAGTGAATAGCGGGGGTGTTTCTGGTGATTTGTATTACTAGAAATTTAAAAAGAGTCCATATTATACAATTCGTGTCTCATTTTCAGAATTTTGAAGATTTTAGCACATTTTTCAACGGAAGTAACTTGGACATTCTAAGCGGGTAAGGAACTTCTTCGCAGAAATTTTTCTAAATAAGGTCGTGAAGGATTTTCCAAAAGTTGAAGGCCGTAACCGAATTGTTCAACCCGACTAACTACACTGGTGGACAAAACTAAAGCAACTAAAATTGCAATGCTAATAAATGTAGCATAGCTTTTTCAAAAATAAAGATATTGTGTTGGTTTTTTTTCAGTTTTAAATCGACTACTTTATTAACAAAAACATTAATGCAAAATTCATTATAAAAAATTAATGGATAAGGGAATTATCTCAATTTTTACTTGGACAAAACTAAAGCAACTCTACAGTACAAACAGACGAACTCTGAAGTTTTACTTATTTTTACCGTTATAATTACACATATTTTGATTCTTATGGAGGAAGGTTTCAAATGAGCATCAGTTCGTACTGATCAAAAAATTGCCATAGAGGTAAAAAAATACTCATTTAAGAGTTCAGCGGAATTTCTGAGACGGTTATCGTTGGATATAAACTCAAGAACAGAGCGTGGACGAGCTATGGTAGCAGGTATTCAAACTATCAAGAAAGTTATTTTATTTCTGAAAAGAATCAGAAAGCCAGATTGCCTTTCGTAAGCATGGAGGAGGGTCAATAATTGTATTGGACTGTTTTTCTTTTTATGGAGTTCAACATATTTACGAGATTTATGAAGTAATGGATCGGATTGTTTATACAAATGTGTTGGAAAACGCTATGGTTCCCTTCGCTGAAGGGAAAATGTTTTGGTGTTTCAGCTTTACTATAACCTCAAACATAACCAAAACATGTAAAAGATTGATTGCGGGAGTCAAAAATCAGTGTTTTATAATGACCAACACAATCATCAGGTGTTTAGAAAAATCTTTGGATGGCAAAAATAAATGAGTTTCACAAACAAATAGGCATAACCTCTTCCCAAAGTTTCAGGATGCAAGGAATTGTATACACAAGGATTAAATTGAGCATTTTATACAATCAATGGTACGTAATTGTGCTGTGAAAATAATAATAATAAATAAATAAATTAGCATAGCTCCTCATATAACGTTATCCCCATGGTACAATAATACAAGGGCAGCTTGAGGTGAATAACAAAAAAAAAAACAACTATGTACGTGGTGTCTTCTTCTCCTAAATATAAAATAAATATACGCAAAAGTGGCTGTGTTTATTTGACATTTTTCAACACTTAACTAAAAACTCGAAAGATGAATGAAAGGTTATGATTTCTTTCCAAAATCCAGTAGGGAATACCATGGAATATTTGTTATATCCATAACAAAGTAATTACTTCCAGAACGTGTTAAAAACATCATTATACTTCCAATTAAATTTGAATATATATCAATTAATTTTGAATTTATTTGACATAGTATTTAAAACAATACACAAAGTATGTATTTTGATTTGATGGAACAACGCACCTTGAGAAAAGAAATTTAATCAGTTTGTAGCTGTTCCCTACCTTGTAATAATTATACCATGGTTATCCCCAATTTTTATACCCTTCTGTGGTACAGGGTATTATGTCTTTGTGCATATGTTTGTAACAGGCAAAAATATACCAGGTTTGATATGCATAGAATTTTCTGAATGATTTACAACTTATGGTGAATGTTAAATTGTAAAAAAGTACAGGTCGCATTTATAATCCATTGGGTAGAAATTTGGCACAAGTCACTTATTTGGCCCAAGGACGAACCCTATTGAAATTGGGAAAAATCGGTTCAGATTTAGATATAGCTCCCATATATATTTTCGACCGATATCGGCACCATAGTCCTTATATATCTTTCGATTTGCACGGAATTTGGCACAGTGTACTGAATTAGGTGCAGCATGATGTGTGCCAAGTTTTGAGAAAATCGGTTCAGATTTAGATATAGCTCCCATATATAGCTTCGTAAATGGTGCACCAAAGTCCCTATATATCCTTCGATTTACACGAAATTTGGCACAACGTACTGAATTGAGCATAGAATGTTGTCTGTGTTTAAAATTGACATTTTAGATATAGCTCTATATAGTTTCTAAAATTTCATGTAAATGGTGCACCATAGTCCCTATATATCTTTTGATTTGCACGAAATTTGGCATAACGTACTGAATTGAGCCTAGAGTGATTTCTGCCAAGTTTCGAGAAAATCGGTCAAGATGTAAATATAGCTCAAATATATATATAGTCAATATATATCTTTCGGTTTTCACGAAATTTGGCATAGCGTACTGAATTTAGTCCAGAATGATGTGTGCAAAGTTAAAATTGAATATATATCCCTTTTATTATAGATTGATTTTATAATTGACGCACCAGGAACCAATAGCCTGATATGAACAAAACGTACTGAAATTAGTATATCCAAACCCGTGACAAGTTTCATGTATTTTATTTGGATATAGATTCCATATATATTTACGCCCGATGTGAAGTAAATTGGGTATCAAACTCCTCATGTTTGTCAGATTGACATGCAATTTTGAACAATTTCCAAAATTGAGCATAAATAACGTAGTTGCGTTTTATCCATAGCCCAATTTTTTTGTTTGAAGTTTTATTTTTGTCCCATTGTAACAAACGAATGACTTGTTTACGGATTGATCTAAGGCGATTCACATTTAGATAAGTATCACATATTTTAGTTCGTCCAAGTTCATGTTAATAGTCCTGTTTTATATACCCATAGTGGTGAAGGGTATCATATAGTCGGCCCCGTCCGACTTTACTACTTTCCTTATTGGTTTTATTTTTATTTTTTCATTTAAATTAAATATTTTGAATTCACATTAGGTAGAACATAACAGCATCTCTCATTATATGGTGTGTTGGGAATTATGGAGCGTTTTATCCGATTTTGATATTTTCGTTTTAATTGGGTGTCAAATCTTAATACCAAAACTGTTCTATGACATAACCCGCCATATACAAGCCTCAAACGATTATAAATATTTAAAATATTTGGAAATTTAAAAATTTTCAAAAGATAAACTTTACCTAGGGTATAAACAGTTCGACCTGATCCAACATAATTCAATTGTAAATCGTAAAAATGGGTAACATAAATGTACAATCAAATTAGCATAAACGCATAATTTTATTTTTGAAATTTGAAATCCAATGTAAATATAATTTAATCGATGTATATTTACATACATGTGGGATTCTCTTCCTCTCTGTCTCCAAGCCATGACGCATCCTCGTCAACATATGTAAATAATAACCGCTGGATGTTGTGTTTGAAAATTGCATCTGTCTTGCTTATGTTGTGATATTTTGCTGCCACAAACATATCATGTGGCCAGTGTGGTTATAAACTGAACTCGAATCTCATACGCCATCTCCTTGGAGGTTACATTAGTTTTTTTTGGGTTTGTAGACGAGCTAGATTTGGTAAAACCAAAAATCTGTCATCATGCTATGAATATGAATGTATAGGGTGTTTTAGTTAGAATGAATGATTTTATGGAAATTAGGCACCGTGAGATACCGTCCAAAGTTTACACAACATCATATTTCTGTTAAGAATAGATCGAATTGTTGTACAATCAGTCAACATTTTTAATAAGTTTAACTTTGCAAAATTGTTGTAAATTTCATACATATACAATCTGAGGATCATGCATTCATATACAATCTGAGGATCTATTATTTAATTACTTTTTTTATATAGTTAAATAAATCAAACAATTAAGTTGTAACATTCCAAACGAAACACCCTTTGCCGGCAAATAAGATTTATCCATGAACATTAGTGTGTCTAATACCGGCAGCTCTAGCTGGCATTGCATTACATTGACCCAGCAGAGTAGTGGTGAATTTTATTGTCATCATCGGTGGCATCAACAGATCTGCCACATCATGATGGGAAGCGTTTTTCGGTATATTGGGGAAGGGTAATAATTTTTGTTTGCTGGTGTTGTTGCGGTCGATGATGAATTGTTTGGTAATTCACAAATGGCAACATTAAAAATTCAAATGATTTACACGAACATGAAATGAAATGTACTGAAAAAAAACAACAACATCAACAAAACCGCTGAAATGTCATTTACAGACATTTTTTGGAAAATGGTTAATAAAATGCATAGCTAAAAGTAAAAAATGCGTTATGCAAACTTGTTTGGTTAAACGAATGAATTTAATACCAATTTTTGAACTACCTAGGCGATGAATTTACAATGAATTACTCGAATCCGCGTATATTTTGCTTTTGGTTTGTAATTAATTTAAAGATTTCTTACACAACCACTTTTTATCGAACTTCCAAAATAAACCGACTAAAAGTTTGTGGATTGGAAAAACAAAATACAAATATATAAAAAATTTTAAAAAATTAATCAATTTCGACGATCTGACAGTTTTGAGGTTTTATTAAAGATGACTACTAAGTCATGGTTGAATTCGTCATAGTCGATAGCTTGAAGATATTAGCGAACGGAAGAACAATGTTATTATGTTTATAGCCGTTAGTGAAGTGGATCTGATCAAAAATCACCATCACAAAGTGGATAATATCGAAGACCACCTGGATGAACAAGACGACATTAAAATACGGCCACATATGTTGAGAAAAATGGCCGCCATACTATTTCCGTCACTCTAACACTCTTTAATAACACTGTGCTACAAAATAACAAAACAATTTTTTTCAGGGGTTCTATTGTACCAATTCAGTTTAGTTGGAGTGTCTGGACCATGAAAATACCTTTGGGTTTTCTGGGTCACTTCGAAAATTAATTTTATAACGGTAAATATGGAGAAAAACGTAGTTTCATGGATTTTCCATTTGAAAATTGAATAACTTATTTACTTTATAACGGATTTATATTATTCTTTCTTTCTTTCGAATACTACAATTTTTCCTTTTAAACAAGATATATATGTATTTGGTAAATCGGTTGAGGATTGGCTGAGTTACAGCGGTTGAAATGTGGAAAAATATGCGTATTTTTCCACATTTCAACCGCTGTAATATGCATAGAGAATATGCATAGAATCAATACAAAAATGTGTATAAGTCATTCATTTTTTAACCGATTTTTTTGATTTTTATCATTTTCGAAAGCTAATTTAATTTTCTTCCCCGTAATATAATAAAACTTATATGGCTTGATATCATAATTTCATCGTACAGTCCGAAGAAAAATAAATTTTGTCACTTTATGCGTATTTTTTCACATTTCAACCGCTGTAACTCAGCCAATCCTCAACCGATTTACCAAATATATATCTTGTTTGAAAGGAAAAATTGTACTCTTCGAAAGAAAAAAAGAATAGTATAAATCCGTTATAAAGTAAATAAGTTATTTAAGTTTCAAATGGAAAATCCATGAAACCGCGTTTTTCTCTATATTTACCGTTATAAAATTAATTTTCGAAGTGACCCAGAAAAACCAAAGGTATTTTCGTGGTCCAGGGACTTCAACTAAACAGAATTGGTACATTAGAAACCCTGAAAAATTTTCGTGTCGCACAGTGTAATCGTCCATGATACTTTTTGTCAACGATTTTCTACAGCAAATAAAAATTGGCTTGAAGTTTACATACTTTCCAAACACAAACCCTTCGAAAATATGTCGTTGGAAATGCTATATTGCAAAGATTTTATACTCCATGAGAACCTGAAAAATAAAATTAGAGCCACTTTGGTTGAAAAAAGTGCCTATGACCCCTAAAAATTGGACTAATATTAATAACACTGTGCAACACAAAAAATAATTACCGGGAATTTCCAACAGATTATGAAAGAGGGGCTAAAAATATATACAGTTTGTTTTGGGACTTGCAGTGGAATTTGAGGTAGCATATTTTTTTCTTAGACATAATATACCTAAAAGTAAGTTTCATGTCACTTTAATGCGCTTAGTCGAAAAAGGTACTGGGAAATGTAAAGAAAAAAACAAGAACATTTGGATTTTTCTTTTCAAAATGTATGGCAGATTTCTCTTGTTCAGTGACTTATGCTAAAAATTGGTGAAGAATATTTTTGTTCCTTATACCATCCTTCTAAAATGACATCTTGTGGGAAAAAGGGTAAAAACTAGTAATAAGTACGACTTTAACCCTAAAATGTTGTTTTTTTTTAAAGATTTTTGACTTTTAGGCAGATTTTTGAGTTTTAGTCTATTCTGAGACTTATAGTAAAACATTATGGCGAACATTTCTGTATAATATTCTGAGCACCTTTAAACCCGTTTTGAATGAGTTTTCAATCACTTCTGGAAAAGGGGACCGAAAAGACCCCTTCAATGTGTCGGTTGAGGGTTAAAGTTGTGTACCAAAAATTTCTCTATATTTTATCAGTGAGCACAAAAAATAAAATCGTCTGTCTTGTGGCTGAAGTTTTTAAAGTTCTGCTTTCGCAATAGTTCAAAATCCTTATCTGGTCGTTTAATGAAACGGAAAATGGAATTAAATCCGCAACATTTTAAAAAACATGTTTTGCCAAATTTCGTGTTTTTGGCACACCAGTTCCCGCCGTTTTAATAGATGGATTTTGAAGTATACCCACATGAATCAAATGACAAATGGTTTTTTAGAAATTTTATCGCAAAAAAGGTTCGTCTTTAGATGCATATTGCTGTGAAGCTGTGAATATTACATACTCAAAACATGTATCAAATTACTCAGATTCGCGAGTACAACAATCCTACAATTGATGTTTGGAAATTTCTGATTGATATTTTGACTAGACGAAAAATTCAAAAAAAAAAAAACACTCAAAATCGAGCTTCAAAATGTCAACATCATTTAAAGGTAGACGCAGATAATTTTTTGAAAAACGATACATAAGGAAAGTACTCCTCATTTTGTAGGCTTCTACTTTTACTTTAGCATGAAGACCGTGAAATGAGTGGCTTCGTCACAAACCGAAAAAAAACATAAAAAACCTGGGTTGCCTCACCCGCTAATTTTCCATTTTTTACATTAAAATAGATACAGCTATTAAATTGTGCAGGTCAATACCATGAGAAGTTTGCAACGACAGTTCAATTAATCCAAAACTATTCAAAATATTTCATATACTTTAATAATTCCCGATTTATAAAGAGGTTAGCCTCGGCTTCAGCTATTTTGAAAAAATTGGCATATTGCCCATATATAGGTCAACGTTTTGATATAACTCCACCTAGATTTTCCGCATCTTTTTCGGTATTAATATATTTTAAGTCACATTTTCTTACTCCTGCACATCAAGAAGAATGCGTTCAAATTTTGTATTGTAGGTGTCTCAATCGTTGTGGAAATAGATCATCGACAATTAATGTGATCGCATCATAAAGTGTACCCCCCACACCACATAGTGTGTATTCAGAATAATCTAAATCGGTCAGGATCTTCAGAGGGGAACTATGTTATTGTATTATGTTATATTATATTGTTCATGCTGAAAAAAAAACTGTTCTAAACTACGGACACTCAGGATGGAAAATTGAGCATGAACTTTAACATACCGAAAATCAAACTGGACATTTTACACTCCGTGAAAACCTGAAAAAATAAATTAGAGACTACTTGGTTGAAAATCCGCCTAAGACGCCTAAAAAAATGGACCAATATTGATCATTTTAGTTGGAAGATTTTCTACCCAATGAGAATACAAAATACCAAATTGCCTGATTTGGTTCAAAAACGTAACCAAAGTATGAAATTACCGAATATGGGGGTGTACCCTCATATATATAATGTGGACTGATATGTCCAATTTTTAATATTAAACATCTTCGGATATAGGACAGACATATGGACATGGCTAAATCGACAAAGAATTTAATTCGGGATATATGAGACGAAGAATATGAATAGGATTTTTTTGAAAGTGATTAAAGTTCATTTTAGATTTTGGCACACATCTTGGATTTCTAGCACATTTTACAAGACATATAACGTTTTATTTTCTAACATGGGCATAAGGCGTCAAACAATATTAATACCACTTAACAATATTTATTGAAACAAATCAAACAAAAAATAAATGACTCAACATATATATATATATATATATATATATGAGTCATTTATTTTGGGATCTAAGTTAGAATTCATTTCAGTTCTAAAAATAAAGAGATTCCAGAGATTGATTTTTGTAGCCAAAATGGGTTGACACCAATACCCGAATTTTTTAACTTTTATATAATAGTCGAGGACAATGTGGCCGGTTATTAAAACTAAACTGGCCAGTGTATATTCTGGAATAAAGGTAACAAAT